GGTTGGGGGGGGGGGGGCGTGAGAGGGGGGGTGTCAGACAGGGAGAGCTGGAGGGAGAGGTTGGTCAGGAAAGGGGATCGGGTGGTGGTGGCGGTGGCGATGGCAGGGGGCTCAACCACGACGACCACGGCCACCACGGCCACCACCACCACCACCACTACCACCACCACGGTACCGACTGGCACTCCTCTAACTGGGCGCTGGGTGTGGTCATGTCGAAGAAAAAGGAGATCTTTACGCAGCTGCGGGTGCCTGGAGGAGAGGTCACAGAGTCCGATGGTGTGGTGTATGCCTTTCACCATGCTGGTGGCTCGGCGACCTCGTTTGTGCCCTTTGCTCGGGCGGCGCCTCGGCTGAGTTGGCGGGCGCTGCAGCTGCCGGGTCGCGGGGTGCGGATGAGCGAGGCTCATCCTTCGTCGGTGGCGGGCATTGTGGGCGAGGCGGTGGTGGCGATGGCCTCTGAAATGGGCGCAGGTGGCGAGTATGTGGTGTTTGGCCACTCGATGGGCGCCACGCTGGCGTACGAGGTGGTGCGGGCGCTGATGGCGGTCGGTGCCGGGAACGGCGATGGCAAGGCGAGTGGGGCCGATGCCGAGCTGGCAGCAGCGGTGGAAGAGGCGGCGGCGGCGGCTGGCGTGGCGATGGAGACTGTGTGCGCTCTGCCGATGCCCAAGGCGCTCATTGTCTCGGCCCGGTCGGCGTTTCCGGTCTCGTCGCTCCTCGCCTCGGAGCTGACGGACGAGGGCCTCACCTCGTACCTGGTGACGATGGGTGGGACACCGCCAGAGATCCTGGCGTCGAAGGAGTTTATGGAGACGCTCGTTCTGCCTGTCCTTCGCACCGACTTTCGGCTCATGCTCGAGTATTCCAACGAGCGGGCGGAGAGCCGCGGGGTGGACGTGCCGATGGCGATCTGCGCCGGGGCTCACGACGCGCGCATCGCGCCCGACGAGATGGAGGCCGAGTGGCGGGCGCTGGCGCGCGGGCCCTGTGCGGTCCACGTCTTCCGCGGCGAACACTTTTACTTTCAAGACGCTGGCGTGCTCGCCGAGTTGGTGGGCGTGGTGGGCGACGCGATGCGCGGGTGAGGCAGGGCGGTGCGACTACTCGCCCTTGGCAATGAGCCCGTTCTGCTCGGGCTTGAGGACGATGGAGACGATGGCGTCGTCGAGCTTCTTCTGGGCGGCGACGACGGCGGCCTTGTCGGAGCTCGCGCCCTTGACCTCGACGTAGCGCTTGAGCTTGGGCTCGGTGCCGGAGGCGCGGACGGTGGCGACGGCGCCGTTGGCGAACCACCAGGTGATCATGGGGTCGCCGACCGGGAGGCGGGTCTTGCCGTCGGTCTCACCGTCGTCAAAGCCAGTGGTCTGGTCGCGGACGCGGACGACGTCAAAGCCTGCGGCGGCAAAGTCATCGCGGGCGTAGGCCTCGTTGTCACGGACGGCGTCGAGGATGGCGTCGATGGTCTTGCGCTCGTGGCAAAAGTGGTACTGGGTCTCGATGTAAAAGTAGCCAATGGTGGCGTAGAGGCGGTCGAGCTCGGTGCGGAAGAGGCCGGTGGTGACGCCGCCGGCGCCGGCGGCGAGGCTCTGCCAGTACTGGGCGGCGAGGACGGCCGACTGGATGCCGTCCTTGTCAAAGACGATGGTGCCCGGGAGGAAGCCGATGGCCTCCTCGTAGGTAAAGACCACGTTCTTACCGGCCTCCTTCAGCTCGATGGCCTTGTTGCCCATGTACTTGAAGCCGGTGAGGGTGCTCGCGTACTCGGCTCCGACCGACTTGGCAAACGCCATGAGCGCCGACGACGAGACGACAGTGTTGATAAAGACGTGCGAGCTTGGGTCCTCGCGGGCAGCTTCCGGGAGCAGAGTCCACGCCCGAGCCGCAAACAGCAGGCCGAGCTCGTTGCCGTTGAAGATGTAGAACTCACCGTCGGCACCGCGCTCGGCGACGGCGAGGCGGTCGGCATCAGGGTCGTTTGCGAGGACAAGGTCGGCACCGACGCGGTTGGCGGTCTCGATGGCCAGCTTCAGCGCACCCTTACCCTCCTCCGGGTTGGGGAAGGTGACGGTAGAAAAGTCCGGGTCGGCCTCGGCCTGCTCGGCGACGAGGACCGGCGGCTCCTGCCCGACGGCGGCAAAGGCGGCGGTAATGAACGGGGTGCCGACGCCGTGCATGGCGGTGTAGACGACGGGCTTGGCCGCAGCCGGCGGCGGGTCGATGCGATGCGCGTGCGAGAGGGCGGCAATGTAGGCGGCGACGAGGTCGTCGTACACATCGATGCAGCCCTCGTGGGCGACGACGTCCTCAGGGAGGACCCGATCAAAGCCGGGAGCAAGATCACGGGTGATAGCGTCGGAAATGGTAGTGGCCAGCGGCGGGAGAATGGCGGCGCCGTTGTCCCAGTACACTTTGTACCCGTTGTCCGAGGCCGGGTTGTGGGAGGCGGTGACGACGATGCCGACCAGCGGGGCCGGGGCCGAGTCGAGCGGATGGGCAATCGAGTACGAGGCAAACGGCGTGGCCATGGTCTTTGACGGGAGGAGGACCGAGATGCCGGCGGCGAGGAAGACGCCGGCCGCCGTTTTGGCGTAGTGATACGACTCGTGGCGGCCGTCGTAGGCAATGAAGACCGCGGGCTTGTCCACGCCCTCGAGCACGCCGGTCTCGCGCATGACACGGAGCACGCCCTGGGTGGTCTGGAGGACAACCAGAGTGTTCATATGGGCAGCCCCAGCAGCCATCTTGGCGCGGAGGCCCGAGGTGCCAAAGGCAATGCGCGGGACCATGGCTCTGGCCACAGCCTCCTCGTCGCCGGCCTCCACAAGGGCGGCCATCTCGTCGGCACGCTTAGTGTCACCGACCTCGCGGGACCAGGTCGCCCACTGCTTGGCGGCATCAATCGTGGTGGAAGGGGAGGTCATAAGGGATAGGGGGGGAGGGGGAGGGAGTGGAAAGGGGGAGAGAGGGGGTGCCGTGTGCTGACGTCGACAGAGTCTGGTCGGCGGGTCACGGGCGGAGGGCGGTGGCCGGCGGCGGGCGGGGAGTTCATGGGTTTAGCGGGGTGCGGGCGTTGATGCAGCAAGAGCGGCGTCGATGTTCATGCCGGCAAAGTCAGAGAGGGTGCCGTGTCGGCGGAGTTCGAGGAGGGCGGGCTTGAGGGTGGAGGCGGCAAAGGCGGTTGCGCCTGCGGGTGTGGCAGCGATGTTCTGGATGACGACCGAGAGCGAGTCGAGATCCTGCGGATCGATGACGGGGACAGCGGTCGCGAGAGCGTCCATCCACTCGGGGGTGGCGAGGGCGGCGGCAAAGGCGGTGTCGGCAGAGACGAGCGAGAGGAGGACGGCGGCGAGTGGCGACCAGAGAGGGCAGACGGCACGGCCGGTCGCTGCGCCGCTCAGCGCGGCGAGGAACAGCGACGGCGCAGCGTGCTGGTGCAGGATCGCACGGACAGAGTCGCGCTGGACAAGCGAGCGCAAGACGTTGAGTGCGCCCGAGACCTTGTCGACGCCGCCGCGTGCGCCGATGACAGCGAGCGCGGCAAGCGCCTGGACCTCGGGCTCGAGCGCGGCGAGGTAGCTGTTGCGCGGCGCGGCAAAGACGTCGTCGCCGAGCTTGCGGACCGAGTACGGCGCCTTGGCATCAGATGAGAGCGCCGCCCGCTCGACGGCAAGCACCATTTGGAGCAGCGCAGCTTGGTCGTCGGCCGGCCGCGAGGCGGTGAGACGGACCGCAGGCGCGAGCAGTGGAGCCAAGCCGACCAGCTGGGCGCGCGGAACACGCTCGCCGGCCAGTGCCGCCGTGGCCACAGTCATCAGCGCCGCCGACAGCGCGTACGCCGCCCTTGCCGCCTTTGTAGCGCTTGATGGCTTGGACGGCGAAGCGGGTGTCGGCGACGGAGGCGTCGGGCCAGGAGACGCCGACGGCGGCGAGTGCACCGATGGAGAGGTCTTGGTCAGCATCAGCTTGTGCTCAAGCTTGGCGATACGCTTGCGAGCGGCTGAGAGCTTGGCCTCCGACTCTGAGGTGGCGGCCAGCTGCTTGGCGGCCTTTTCCTCGGCCTCGGCCTTGGCCCGTTTCAGCTTGCTGGCCAGCGCCCGAACCCGGACCAACTCCTCCTCCACACTCGCGAGACGGGCGCGGGTCCTACCCAGCACCATCTTAAACTCAGCCTCAACCTCGACCACCTGGGCATCGGCCTCAGCTTGCGCGTTGGCGACCATGCGCGCGCCGCGGAGGACCTCGTCCTCGCCCTGGCGCAGATCAAGGATCCGTTGGTGGAGGTCAGCCTCGCGGCGAGATACATCGGCCTCGCGCGTCTCAAGCTGAGCCTCGCGGGCTGCAATAACTTCCGACTTGTTCTGCAGCGCCGACGAGAGCGTCGCCAGCTCGATCCGCGCCGCCTCGAGCGCATGTGGGGCTGGCTCGGCCAGTGGCGCGACGACAGCCCGTTGACGCGGCGGGCTCGCCAACTGGCGATGGCTCCCGTAACGAGCATATACCTCATCCAGCGAGGAGCGGGCAGCGCGGGGAGTGGCTCGGAAGCGAGCTGACTCGTCCTGCTCATTGGAGTCACTGTACTCATCAGTAAGGGGCGAGGAGCGTGTGGGCGGGGAGGAGCGTGTGGGCGGCGGGCGGCGGGAGCGAGGCGGCGGAGGGTCGAGGCGCAACTCAACGCGGGTCTTTCCGCTCGACACCCGCTCTGACGCCGCCAGCACATCGTAGTAGTCCCCATCATCGTCGTCGCTGTCGTAGCGGGTGCGCGGGCGAGACATTCGGGACGATCGGCGAGACGTGGCAGGAGCGGGAGCAGGGTGATAGTAGTCGTCGGACGAGGCTGACGAGGCGGACTCGGAGCCGGAGGCATACCTCGCCGAGTAGCCCATCACGGACTGGGTAGGCAGTGAGTGGAGGTGGTGAGGGGGGTGGGTAGGGGGTGGAGGGATGGGGTGGGGTGGGGTGGTCGTACCATGGCTGTGCGGGAGAGGGCCTGGCGGGCGTGGCCGTGGCGGGAGGACATGGCGCGCAGTCAGGTGGGGGTGGTGCCAGTGGGCGCGAAGTGGCGGGCGGGGAGGCGGCGGGCGGCGAGGGCGGCGGGCGGCGAGGAAGGCGATCGGATTGGCATGAGCGTTTACTCGTTGGAGTGCTATGGGGTGGGTTGGGGTGTAGGTGGTGATGCGGGTGGAGGGGCGGAGAGGATGATGTGGGCGATGGAGGAGGCGGCGTCCATGCCGTAGAGGAGAGAGAGCATGTCGTCGAGGTAGTGGCCGATGTACATGGCGACGAGGCCTGGTGCGCGCTGGGCATCATCGCGAGCGGCGAGACGGGCAAAGGCGTCAGCGAGGGCGGAAGTGGCAGCGACGTCGAGGGCATCGGCAGCCCGAGCCGGAAAAGCGGTGACCAAGTCGAGATCAAGCCGACACTGGTGAGCTGGGCGGTGGAGCGGGCGAGCCAGCCCTGCGGCCGTAGCGCGGGCGTGCTGGCGGATGAGCCCGGCGTGGTGCTTGAGGTCGGGATTGCTGGCCTCGGAGCCGTAGACCGGACGAAATGGCGAGGTCGTCGGGGTCTCGATGACGCCCTCGGGCGGATACATGGTGCGGAGAGCAGCGCGGAGGGAGGAGTACGGGGCAAAGGCAAGGTGCGGCGAGGCAGCGGCGGCGAGGGCGTCAAGCAGCGACGCCACCGCCGAGCATGGGATCCGGGGCGAGAGCGGGATCTGGGGCGGCGCAAAGCAAGCGGAAGCTCCCACAGCGCATCCAGGTCCTCAACAAGCGCCACGCCCGACCAAAAGTTGACCGAGATCGAGGGGCCGTCCGAGTCAGCGAGGGCCGAGACCTGGTGAAAGGTGCCTGGCGGGAGGTAGAGGACGTCGCCAGCGACAAGATCGACGATCTCGAGCTCAAGCTTGTGCGAGCGGGCAAAGCGGGCATCGCGGTGCTGCATGTGGTGGCGGGGAAAGACGCCAAGATGGGGCCAGGCTTGTGACGGCGCAAGCGCAAACCGCTTCCGCCCGTGTAGCTGTGCATACACATTGTGGACCGGATCGTAGTGCAGCAGGGTGGTGGCGGACGGCGAGCCAGTCCAGAACTGGTGTCCGCGCGAGTCTGGATGCGAGCCGCGAACATAGACACCAGCAGCATCTGCATCGTCCAGCACAGCAGCAAGAGGCAAGAGCGGTCCGCGCAGATACGAGGCGTAGTAGTAGATCTCCGAGCCGGGGCTGTCGTCGTCGGCCACGTCGAGTGCCGAGATGGGCGGGATGAGGACATCGGCCAGAGCAATCTGGCTCGCCGGGCAGCATCCTTTGTAGAACCACGGGCTCTGTGACTCGCCAATCTTGGCCAGTACCTTGGTAGCCCTGCCGGCGCGAGCCATGACGGCCTCAGGTGTCCAGTCTCCAGCAGCGACCCACGCGGCCATCGGCGAGCCGCGGACGACGACAGGCAGTCCGGCGGCGGCCAGCTCTGTGAACGTCTCTACGCCATGATAGTGCACGACGGGGATGTGTGCGGTAGCAGAGGAGATGGCAAGGACGAGGACGAGGGTGAGGGTGAGGGTGATGAGTCTGGGTGGGCAGGGCGGCATGGGCGGAGAGGTGTCGGTCAATGACGCCTGTGTGTGTGGCCGGGGGAGGGGGGGGGGGGGGGGGGGGAGGGGGGAGGCAGCAGACGGCAGACTCGACTTGGCGCGAGGGCATATGAGTGAGGCCATTCAGACGGCGTTGTCTGCGCTCGCCGAGGCGGTGGCAGGATGGGACTACCACCACCTGGCGGTGTACAAGAGTCTGCAGGGTGTGGCGACGTTGGCGGAGCGGCGGGCATCGCTGGCGGCGCTGAGTAGTAGCGGGCCGGCGAGGCGGTCGGTGACGACGGCGGCAGCGTTTATGGAGGCTGGGGGAGTGGTCGGCTCGGAGAGTGCAGAGTCACTGACGGCGATGGATGGCTCGACGCTGCTAGATCGGCATTCCGGCGGGCGAGTGCGGGTGCGTGCGCGGATTCGCCAGAGGATGGAGTTGCTTGTGAGTCGGACCCGCAAGGCGGCCGAGCCGCTCGATGCCGTGTTGGAGGCGATGGAGAAGGCCGGGCGGGCGGCTGTGGCCGCGATTGAGACCGTGCTGGGGGTGGAAGGCGTGAACGAGGCGCTCGAGGCACGGATGCTCGAGACAATGGACGCCGTCGACGCGATGGTCATGCAGTACACGCGGTCGCGGGCGCGGAAGCGGACGCTGCTCGACGACGAGCTCGTTGTCGCGCTGTATGGCGAGGACGCGGACGTCGAGCCGGAGAGTGCCTCTGCTGTGGTGGACGCATGGGCCGAGTCCAACTCGCCGGCGTGGATCGACCCTGTCAACGTCGCCACGCTCACCGAGCTGGCGTACGTAGACGTGGGAAGTGAGGCGTAGGCATCAGGCACGGAGGGCGCAGTCGGCACCGAGGCGCAGCCGGCACGGTGGCACACACCCAGCAGATTGATTGGTGTTGATGCTTGTTCATTAATACATACAAAGCGGGTCCTCGCGTGGAATACACGCTCTCGATGGGACCGCTACTTGTACACGCTCTTGGGCCTGCGCTTGGAGCGAACACGGGTCTGACGCTGAAAGTAGAACGGCTTGCCGCTGGCGGGATCGGTTCCCATGCGCCAGAACTTGGGCAGCGGCCGAAAGTCGGCGTCAAACTTGGTGTACGGCGTTGTGGACGGGGGCCAATCGAGCGGGTTGTGCCGAGTCGGCGCCTCCCGCGAAGCCTCGTCGATGCGGCCGGCCAGCTCGTCGTAGCCGCGGCGTCCGGAGCGGACGCGCAGACACAGGACCAAGCCGACGGCCATGACCACGAGCGCAAGCCCGACAACCGCGCCGACCACAATGATCACAACCTTGCCCTGTCCGGAGAAGACCGGGGGCGGAGGCCGGGACTGGGGTGGCGGCGGCGGCGGCGGAGACGACATCAGCGTCGTCTGCGGCTGAGAGCGCGTCGACGAAGCCGCGCCGCGGTTAGCGGCAGCGTGCTTGGGCGTCGACAGCGGTGCGTGCGGCGGCAGCAGGTGGCTGTCTGCGGCGGAGCGCGGTAGCGCCCACACGCGCGGAGCGATGGATCTACAGATCAGTTCTGCAGACCCAGCACACTGCATCGTCCTGCACATCACCACGTGAAGTCGGGTGTCGAGAGCTTTGGAGGCATTACACTGTTGTCGTCGGTCGTTGCTGTGAGTCTACATGGAGGAGGAGGAGGAGGAAGCAGAAGGGAGAAAAAAAAGTTTCACCGTAACCACCGACCGCCATCCCCAGAATCCTCGGCGGGCAGCCAAAGGGGGGGAGGGGGGGCCGTGTGGACAAGGCGAGATAGCAAGACATCAGGTTGGAAAACAATTCTGATCTCAGCCCTTTGGGCTCATAAGTGTCCTAAGATGTATGTTGTATGTATTCTTTCATCATGTGTCTGCTTGGGTAGCCATGGGGTGGCTGGAGGGAGGGGGGGGTGGTGGTGGATGGTGGAAAATACGCGCCATCCGGGAGGAGGGGAGGAGGGGGGGAACCAAGGAGAAGGGAGGACGTACCAAACATAACACGCCCCATAGGGGCACACCCGGGCCAAGGGCGAGGGACTCAGTGTCCCTCTGCCCCGGGTTGGCCGGGTGCCCCGCAAGGACTAGAGTTCCCGCGGGTGCATCTCCGGTGGGCTCAGTCCGACTGCAGCGTCGGCAGCAAGAGCCACACCGTGAGTGAGATGGTGGCAGACGGCAAGAATAGCGATCCGACGGGAGTTGTGAGTTACTCGTTCGTTCGTTCGTTCCGAGGAGAGGAGGAGGGGAGGACTCGTTTGCTCGTTTGGGAGAAGTCGAGGAGGAGGAGGAGGAGGAGCGTACCAGAGAACTGTGCCTGTGCAAGGCGACGAGGCAGTGGTAGTGGAGAGGGAGAGGGAGAGGACGAGGGAGATGAGGACGAGGGAGAGGGTGGTGGAAGGTGGCATGGGTGAGAGGGTGGGGTGGGGGGTGGGGGGTGAGGTGGTGTGGGGTGAGGTGAGGTGGTGTGGGGGTGGGGGTGAGCGTGGGGGTGCTGCACGCGGGCTTGTGGGCTGGGGCTGGGGCTGGGGCTGGGGGGCTGGGGGGCTGCGGGAAGGTTGTGATCTTTGCGGGTGTACCTTTGACGGGTGAGACGGGGCGTGCAGAGATGTACAGGCAGGCCGGGGAGAGGGGAGGCAGGCGAGTTGGGGGATAGGGGGGGAGGGGGGGGGTCGAGCCGGCGAGCAAGGGGCGGAGCGAGGAGAGGTACAACAAGGCTGGCTAAAAGACCATGGTGTGGCACTCCTTGCAGTAGATCTTGGTGTCCGGGCCCTTGCGGAACTGCTTGATGGGCTTGCGGCAGCGGGTGCACTTGAAGCAGGCCGAGTGGAAGCGGGCGTCGCCGACGGCCACAGACTGCTGGTTAAGCAGCACGTCGATGGGCTCGTCGCAGACGGAGCAGATGAGGCCCTGCATGTCGAAAAAGTGGTAGCGGCAGATGGGTTTGCCAGTATTGGGGTCGAGGAACTCGTCCGAGACCATCTCGTAGGTACAATTGGGGACGGCGCACTGGAAGCACTGCGGGTGGTAGAACTGCTGGCGAACAAAGACAAAGCCGGTCCCGACATCATTGAGCTTGGCCAGCCGCTTCTCAAAGCGGCGCACGTTGCCTTCGGCCTCGTGGATCTGGCGCTCGACGTCTTTGGCCTCGCGCGAGCCGTCCGGGTAGAGGCCCTTCATGGCCTTCATGCCGTTGAGTGCCTTGTTCTCCTTTGTGATCTTGGCGTTGATCTCGGCGATTGCGTCCGAGTTCTTCTCCACAAGCTGCTTGGGGTCGACAGGCTCGGCGCACTTGGGGCAAACCGGGGCGCACTGCGGGTGGTAAAAGCGGCCGGCGAGGTCGATGACGTCGACCTCGGGCACATTGAGCCCGCACGTCTCGCACGGCTTGAACAGGCCCTCGCCAACCACTCCGCCGAGACCCGAGAGCCCGTTCATGAGCGAGTTAAGCGCGTCGTCAAAGCCCCCAAGGTCCACGTTGGTCGTCACAGACTTGGACTTGTCCGGCAACGGGCCCGAGAGCTCGGCCGACACGTAGTTGGTCGTTCCGGACGACGCCGTCGCCCGGGCCATCTCACCGTCATCCCACGCAAACGCGTCCATCAGACTGTCCAAGTTGATCGTATCCTTACGCGGGCGTGCCATCTGTCGCCGGCCAGAGAGGTGAGTGGCCATGGCGTGCCAGCGAGCGTGGGGAGGAACGCGTGAGCGCGTGAGGCTGGAGCGGGGGGAGGG